CCGGTCGTATATTTATACCGCGGCGCGACACGCCGACGAAAAACTTTCGTCGTCGACTACCTCCGGTGGTCCGCGATTCTGTTAAACCGCACTTTTTTTTTTCTTTCTTTCTCTTCCGCGGTGAATGTATACTACAAGATTTTACAATAACGTGTGTGAGTTTTTTTTTTTTTTCCAACCACTTTTCGACGATTACGTATTTGTTTGTAAACGATTCATGCGCTTTACGCATTTTCCGCGATCGCCGTTCGTTTCGGCGCCCAGGGTTAATAATAATAATAACGACGGCGATGGTCGATAAACCTGCAGCAGTGACCCGAGCTTGCGCTAAATCATTGCGTACCAATCATTGTGGACTGACATTTTAGTTTATTTTATAACAATAAAATATTGGAACGTTGAAATGTATATCGTCCTCCCTCTCCGCCCCTCACAGTGGCGGATTTTCAACAATTTTCTGGGAAGGGTCCTGGAAAACCATATGTATTTAAAAAGTGTCTATAAACAGACGCCTCTTTTTTTTCACGACATTTTATAGAAATCATATCGATGTCTGGGGGGACCATACCCCCTGGACGCCTCCCACAAATCCGCCACTGCTCCCGTCGTGTGAAAATGCTGCGCACGTCACTGGTGCAAAGTATGTCGGGCTTTTTTTCCTTACGGTCACAATAATGGCCAAACACGAGAAATATTATGTATGCGTACACATAGCAATGCTCAGTTCCGCAAGTTCGTCTTTCCGACAAGGGTCAAGTCCGGAAATTCCATTTGCTGAAGGACAAAGGTCGTATTGACGTATTGTACAAACAAGACGAACGCTGACGAATCGTGTGTTAACGCCACAATTTCAAGTTGAATCCGAAACGTTCTGTCAATAATTATTGAGGTCCTACAGCCGATATTTGACTTTACGATCATTGTAACTATTACATACTTAATATTTACAACGAGTTACTCTCTAATAGTTAATTACTTGTATAGAAATTATAAAAAAATTATAAATTAATAAATAATTGCAACGGAAATTATAGCGCGATTCCAATATCTGAACAATTAGTCGAAATAATTATATTTAAAAAAAAATAGAGCCGATACTGCTGATGGGTGTAATATTGTTGTAGGTGAACTGAGAAAAGATTGGATACAATAAGTTATTTAATTTATAATTTTATACACACATTTTAACACGTTAAGGAAAGGTTAATGTAAGTATGTGGTGAAAATGTCAAGACTTTATAATTATTTTTAACCTAATTAAAATATTTATTGAAAAAGAAAAGATTGTTATTGTCATAAACTTTCCCGGTTTTCCTACATTTTTTTCCCCCCAAGTATTAAGACAATTTCACAGGAAATTAAAAACCGATCTTCTATAATAGTTACGAGATGAAATTTCTTTCAGAAAAGATGTTACAATTGATAATCGATAATTTCTGGCGGAAAAGATACTTACACAAATAAAACACATATCGTAATAAAACCGATGCATTCCTCGCAGCACTCAGAATCTAAAATTGTGTTCAAATCATTTTGCTCAAACACGAAAATTAAGCCATAACAATAAGTATGCACGAAAATTATTATCGAAATAGATAAATAATACTTATGTATTATATAGATTATATAAAAAAAAAAAATACAAGATTTCAGATATTATTACAGAAATGTTTGTTCGAATAATAGTTTAATTTGTATCGATAATAAGGAGCAAACTTAAAAGGTTTTTTTTTTATTAACCTTATAAGTTTTATTTTAGTATTGTACAATCAACTAATAACGTAACAAAATAAAAAACTAATAAATTGTTGCGGATTAAATTATACTTTAATGTTGCGAAATAATACGTTTAAAAATTTGAGTTATAAAAAATTCCTTGTCGGGGACTTCCCTCAAACTGAGAATACAGAGTGATCTATTTACCATGAACCAGCGGTTTTCACGTGAAATCTTATTTTCATTTTCAATCGTTATACCTATAATGGTTTAAGTTTTATTTTAACATTATTTTGCAATCAGCACCTCTACTTCTTACATTGTAATGAGCATACAGTTTGATTGTTTAAAAAAAAAAACTTTTAAATGGAAATTCGAATAGAGAATATTTTTCTGAACTTTTTAATATACATAAAACTAATATCGGATTCGCCGTTTTTGAGTTAAACAATTTCCACTGGAAGAAAAGGGAAATAAATTGCACATCATCATTTTTTATTATCCGTTCCTATACGTTTCTGGTCTAAATTTTAAACGGTTATAAGTTATAACTCATAAACGGTGAGGAATCCGATATTGGAGCAATTACGTATTATACAAAAATATGTAGAAAAATATTCTTTATTCGAATCTCTGTTAAAAATAGTCAAAAGTGCATAAATTCTCTAAAGGTATGCAAAGTAAAGTTAGAATTTAAAATACTAGTAAAATAAACCTAAACGATACTCATAAACGTATGTTGATAACATAATATTCACAGTCATATTGGTTACAACATAATATAATAACTAATAAAATTCAATAATTTTTTATTATTTAGTAGCTAATTATTTATAAAATTAATATTTTAGTAGTATATTATTATCAAAAGAAAAACATTGTGTTACTTTGGGCCCTCTAAGCGAACGAGTCCCGGTGTGACCGCACCCTTTGATTTCTATTATTTATGTTACACCACCACTGATTCACCCTGTATACGAATAAAAAGGTACTTTTTTGAAGGTAAACATTTCATTATTCTGATTTTTTTTTTTTACCCTTTGAAACCGTTTCACACACAAGTTTGTATTTTAGTATGATTATTCTACACGCAACATTTTTTTTTTACTCGCACAAAAAGTCGTCTTTAGTATTAAAAAACATATATTTTTTTTTCGTTTCATACTCTGCTTATGTCATTATATTATTATCCATACTGCACAAAATCGCAGTAATTAATCGTAGACGTTTTACGCATTTATGCGGTTTAATATAATAATATTATACTCTAATATAATACGTAGTAGGTACATTTACGTTTTTTTCGAGTGTATGAACATAACAAGTGTACTTACGCGTATACGTATAATATGTATACATTATTCGGATTTTCGTTGAAAATAATTAAATACTTAAATTTGCATATGAAAAAAAAAACCAACCTCAAAGTAATATAATATTTTCAACCGTGCGGTGGCGGCCGGGTCTCGGCGTGTATGGTATAATATTAATATACTTGAAACGGAGCCCCAATTGTAATATCTATTCTCAAGATGAATTTAAATAATTTACATCGTACAAACAACAATGTTATTATATATTGTAAGTAGGTAATTAAGTGTACTGCAGTTTTTCGCAAATTTTCCCATACTCGGTCAGTAGCGATAAAGTAAGGGTTTCTTCCGGAATTCAGCGGCGTTCAATAAAAACCATAATATAAGTGCATTCCAAAACTCAACAGTTTGATAATGTTTTATTGTTAGACTTTTTATTGTTCTGCGATTCATCGGAGCCAACTAAATTTTCATCTAGCCCAGCCGGTGGCATGCTCGGTAATTCGCGTTGAGAGCGATTATCCATAAACAAATCGTAGAATCTTCTTGTTTACCCAAATAGATAACGGTAATTTAAAATCCAGATCCTAAAAACCAATTCTTAATTCTTCCCTTACGCACGCCACTGGATCCAGCGATCAACATATTACTGATTTTTCTAATCGTTATTCCTAATCAGTTCTTCTAATTTCATTCGTATATGCCGTAATTTTAAATTTACGGGGACATTATAGGTGTCCATTATAGTATATATACTTGATAAGTTGATGATACAGGAAAAAAGGTTGGAACCATGTTCCGTTATCCAACGAAATCTAAATATTTTTGGTATCATCGTTTAGTTGCCTTTTAAAATGTAATGTAATATTTTATAGAAATTATGTCCCCACGTATTATATAGCGTTTCGGGTTGCGGCACGCGTATCACACGGAAGATAACGATAGTAATAATAATATGAAGTAAGTCGTAATTTGTTTTCCTTTTATTCTCTTTTTTTTTTTTTTTTTAATTATATTAAATGGCCAAACCGGGTCGCCCCAACGTATACAAACGGCCACCACTATAATACGAGTATACCTAGGTACTTTACGAGTATCCGGGGTTTCGGTTTTATTACACCACGCGCAAAAGATAACGCACATGTGAAGCTTTTCCACCACCGTCTTTGTCGATAGTTTTTTTTTTTTTATATTTAACTAATACCATGGTATAATATAAAATGTGTGTTTGGCCCGCTTCTATAGCTACACCGCAGCGGAGTGATTAGAATCCGGTAGTAAACACGCACACCGGCCACCGGGTAGTAGATATAAGGTATAATATTATTATTATAAGGTTCGTATAATATTTCAGCCCGGCCGTGATTACGATAATATACGGTGACACTAAGTTGTCGTTGTATAAAATGAAAAAAAAAATAAAAAATAATAATAATAATATTATATACCAAATAAACCCAATTTAGAACCAACAGAAGAAACGTTTAACAAAGTTTTTGAATTACCCGAGTAATACAGAGTGATCAATAAAACGTCGTAGTATAGACAATCCTTATTATTATATCGGAAAATATCTACTTTACAAAAAAAAAAAATTTCAAAACCAAAATTTATTTAAACTAAAACTTCATCTATTTATGGAATTTCCAATATACATATTATATTATATAGGCTATCATTTTAAAATCAATATGGCATGATAGTGATGGTTTCGCTCTCGAAGGATAACGAAAAATAAGGGTAATGTAACATTATAGAGCGTGATTGTTTTTAATATTTTCAAAAAAAAAACACAATACTTTCCGAGATAATACTATAGTGTAATACTATAACGTAACCATTATATATTGATCACAGCAGGGGCGATAAATTAACAAATAATAATTGGATAAATCAACAGATTTTATTCATTCGTAGAAACGTTTTTTGGAATCATACAAAAATTATTTCATCCAAAGATGGGATATTTTAATGGACAACCTTCATTTATCTTTAAAGGATTGCAGTACTACAAAGTGGTCTTCAAACCAGAAATCAGTCAGTGCATTAAACTTACAATTGTCTGATGTCATTAAAGTGTTTGGTTTATTAAATCGAGAAGCATTATCCGATGAAGCTAAATTTGATGCTCAAACTTGTTAAAAGCAATAAATTAATTTTCATTTATATGTGTGTTAACCGCGTGATACAAAATTCTTAATATAATAATTGATCGAGTAAACATAATATTACAAACTTAAAAAATAACGATTGATACTGGGAAAATCAAAAACATGACCTCCCTAAAGTACCATCCCAGTAAGATTTCATTTCAGAAAAAAAAGCTATCATTGTAAATCGGAGCAACATGTTTGGTTAAAAAGTTGTTCAGATAAAAAATAATAATAAAAATAAACATCATTGTAAAACAAATAAATTCCTCACTCTACTCAGAACCTAAAAAGGGCGCTAATTTCATATTTTCTCTCTGGATCACGGTATAAACGACGACCGTCTACTGCGATTACTTCACATCCTTCAAGTTTTTTGTGAGAATTATTTCGACAAGTTACTCCGTATAGATATATCTAATAAAACGATCTTCTATAATATTAATAATATTATAATATAACGAGATACATATGTATAAAAACAATTAAGTAATATAGCTACCATTTTTTTTTTGCCATATTATTGCATACAGTTTTTCGAACTTTTATTTTAACAGACGAAAAATGACCAATCTCTGTCTCTGAAACTTTGAAACTAAGTTAATATTTTATTTTTATTTGTATCGTTTAGCATTAATTTAAATTTTACACGCCATACCGAATACTTAACAATAATAAATCTGAGAATCGTTTTTTTTTCTTAAACTTTATTTTAGTTGAGAATTGTAAGTACTTGTTATTGGGGCTGGAAACACGCGTATCCTCAACCACTAACCCAAGCGTTTTTTCGATTTTCTCGGAACAGGGAAGTCCTAATGAATTCCGGTATTGGGCATACAAATTGTATACAAAATATCAACGAAGGAAAACATACAAAAAGCAAACCAACAAATTCATAAAATTACATACAAAACATTTACAATTGAAAATGTACAATAAGTTGAATGGGCCGGGAAGTGGGAACACTTACATTAATATACGATGACGTAGGTAGATCCCATTTTTTAAAAACATTAAAATTAACACGTCATTATTATACAACTATAATAATGGCTATTATTACAATATTGTATCATGTGATGAACGAATTGTGTCAACTAAAACAACAAATTTGTATATACATATTTCGCGACTTTTGAAAATATTATAATACACAGATTACAATATTATGCATCACAATCTTACAGTCTTCTATACATATGATTTAAGGTGAGAAAGATACGTTATTCCAATGAAAAAATAATTCTGAAGTTATATAGTTTTGAGATTTAGTCATAATTTACACAGCGTATAGATTTTATCGGCTATTTGTCGATTTGGCTATTGTTCTTGACTTTTCAACGCACTCGAACGATAAAAAAACGTATTCGATTTATTTTCCATACCTACGAAAATCAATTAAAAAGTTAGGTATACAAAAGTTAGACAGCGGCCGATTGTTTACACGATTTTTCATAACATTTTAGTTTCGTTTCTAGGTATAGTATGGGTAACAGGTTGGTTGAACAACAAAAGAGAAAAAAATTATTTGTTCAATGAAATTAATCAATCACAAGTATATAAAACAGAAGTACCTATATGGCTATGTATACATATTATAGTAGGTATTTATATTTTAAATATTTAAAAATAATAATTATGATCGGATCGTTTGAAATCCTACGCGATGATTAATGGGCTGTGAAAAGTGTATCGTCAAGAATAATTTAGTAGAATAATTAATAATGACGGGGGGAAAAAAAACCGCTTGTCATACAAGTTCCCATATTTTGTACAGGTATATAAGCGATGAAATAATATTACTCGACTTTAAATATTGAGAAAAAAAAAAAAACGAAAAATAAATTCGATAATTAAAAATAGAAATACATTTTATCATATCTATAGACTGACTTACATTTTCGATAGCAAACAACGTTACGTTTTAATAATTTACCGTTCCGGGCCGCGGTGGTGATGGTAACATTCCGAATAACGCGACCCACTTTTTAGATAATATTGTCGAGCGACTGATTTTCTCTACAAAAAACACCTGCGATCGCGACCCGCGTACCCAGCTGGTAACTAATTATATATATTATATTATAATAATAGCGTGAAACCGTATATAAATACCGTTTTACGGAAAAATGTTTTTCTTTTGTTCCAAGACAATCGAAACTCAATACTATTCAATACATTAATATTATCATTATACATGGAGCGAATACACTTGGATTTAATAAACCCTTCGAATCGTTTTATTTACTGTTCGCTGTAATCCCTCCCCGGGGGGTCAACCGTTCTAGCCGCTATTCTCGCCCTCCGCACATCTCCCTCTACGAGTATATACATCCATCACCGTTTTTTTTTCCTCTTCTTCCACGTACCCTCATAATATTATCTCCCCTAATAACCTCGAGCCGCACTTCGACCTCGGTGCTACTCGTTTACTTGTTTACCTGTAACACGCGAAGGCTCGTTTGCGCAGAGAAAAAATATTGAGTATTCCTCAGTGGCGAAATTTCCGTTTCCTATAAGAGGGAGTACAAACGTCTTATGAGACCAATTATATTGTTAAAACAAATTTCCATACATTTATGAAACCGTTTTTTTCTTGAAATAACGCGTAACAAGAATTTTTAATGCCCGTGGTAAAATATTCTAAATTAATCAAATTGGGGGCCAAGTGCACAATACGAGTTTGAGTCCAATTTACACTAATTGGAGCGAAAGAAAAAAAAGTCACTGGCTGTTTTCATACTCCTGTCCGTCTACTCCTTATATTACTTAAAACCAAAAGAAAGGTTATAGCCTTTTTTTTTTATTTACCTGTCCGTTCACCCAATATTATGCCTTGAATGCGCTAACTACATATATGTCTAATAACGTCATTAAACCATGTTACTAAATTTAGACTACAAGACTTAGATAACAATACGAGTAATAGTAATTTAAAGTTTAACTACATTTTTTAAAACAATATATAAAATGACGCCCTTCCCCGTAATCAATGAATGTGTTTGGGGTTGGCGAGTTCGAAAATTCGACAGTTGCAGCTTATTAAATGTACTTGTTATAGACTAAGGCAAATTAGTTACAAATTAAATTTTTTAATCAAAAAACGATAACAAAAAAAACCAAAGAATACTACTATAAATTAAATTAATTTAAATCTAATCTACAAATAATTAACTAACATTGATTTAGTTTTATGTCTAACTATATCAATATTTAACTTTTTACATAAATCTATTCTTACATTGAATTTCCCAAATTTGTTTACATAATTTAAATTACTTAAAGTTTTTTTAAGCGAATATTATAAACATGGTGCGGTTTAAATATTACCACGTCAATTTTAAATAAATGTAAGATTACTTTTTAATAAAATAAAGTGCTTTTAAATTTAATACTCCGAAATCAGAAACAGGTAAATTATCGGATACAACCAATTAGGTTTATGCAAAATTATTTTTACTAACCCACATGCTGTAGTATCTTAAAATTAATTACGCGAGTGAAAAATAAACTATTTCCAATAATGAAAGACTCAGAATATGCCTTGGATTATTAAAAATATAAAAAAAGTTTTCGAATTAAGTTCGTTATTATAATATGCTGTTTACGATTTGACCATTTAACTTTTTCATCGACCGTGGCTCCAAAAGTACTTAATTAAATCAACATTGTGCACGCCTATGTGTGAGTGTAAACAATTTATCAGACTGCAAGCAGTCAAACCGAAAGAAACTCCGTAAAATGAAGAGTGTCTAATACAGTATTACCAGTGTATAATGTGCATATTGTAATCAGAACTAACGAAAATCGGTATGACTCGGACAAAGCTGTGTAATATAAGTGCATGACTATAGTTAACACATACTGATAATTATAACGATGAATTTTAACATCTAGTGATTACGTATTTTGTCGACGTTTCAAATTAAAACGTTTATCGAAAATTAAAAATGCCAAATTTACGTATTGAAAACGATCGTTTTCACTCGACATAATTTTTACCGTGTTCGTATCGCTACTTGCTCGCGAATAAGAAGGACACGCGACCTCGTACAACTCGTAGGTTATTCGCGCGCCGCAGCGACCCGCGGTGAAGTTTTCAATATCCCCAAAGAGCGGGTGAAAAATACCAGGCACAAACACGGGACGAGAGGCGGTTACCGCGAATTAATGTTTATAACAGGCGCTCCCCCTACGCCGGCATCCGCACCGGTACGTATAAAAAGCGTTCCGCGCTAAAAAACAAAAAAAAAAACTGTAGTCGTATCGCGTACGTATACGTTATCGCATATTATTTGTACCCGCGGTTTCCGCGGTTATACGATTTTAAATTCGTCTAATACAAGTACGGTTTTTTAATATTTCCCCTCCCCCCCCCCCCCCCGTAAAGTTTTATTATAACAATATAGTTAAACGAGATCTCGAGCTCAACAGACGCCGGGGACCGTTATAACAGATACCTGCTGTATATATATATATATATATATGTATGTATGTATATATACATTGTACACGTTATAATAAATGTATACCAGAGGTCCGGAGCGGGAGATTATCGCGGTTCGGACGAATAGAATTGCCGGGGCGGCGGCGGCGATATTGTTATACATATACATACATATATATATATGTATATATATATATATATGTACACGTATAGGTATAATATCATATTATAAAGCCGCTTTATAATATTACAGAGGTCCGGGCGATTATAGACCGAAGTATCGTTACATAGATTAAACGCCGTTGCTTATAAATAACATTACGTATATCATGACGTAGCGCAGAGGGAAAACGTAATAATAATAATAATAATAATAATAATACGTATATCTTATCCCGCGCGACAAACTGCACCGGGACAGTGTTTCGGTCGACTCGTGATGCGGACCGATTTACGAGCGTGTGTCGCGCTTACGCCCCGGGAATTATATATGTATACATGTATACATACGTACGGATAGTGAGAGATAGACAGAGAGAAAGTGACTAGAGAGAGAGAGAGAGAGAGAGAGAGAACCGGTGTATAGTTTGCCCGGTTTTGTTCCGCGAAAACTTTGAAGGACGAGCGGTCGCGAGAAGGACCCCGGCCGCCGGTGTACATAATAAGGGATACGGACCGACACCGCGCCGCGGAAGGACACACGCGCCGCGCACAGTCGGACAATAATTATCTCCTCGGAGGCATCTTCTCTTCCGCTCCCGTCCCGTTTTGTCCGACTGTGCATGTGCGCGCGCGGTATGTACACCTCTACTTATATACACCGTCGTGTATATATATATATATATATATATATATAAGTATATATATATACGACGGTGTATTATTATACTACCACAACGACGAGCTACTAATATAATATATATATATATATATATACATAAATCAATACGAAAGACTGCGGTGTGGTCGGCGGCGGCGGCGGCGAAGGAGTGGCGGTCGGTCGGTCGGTCGGTCGGTCGCCGTCGTCGTCGTCGTCGTCGTCGTCGCCGTCGAAGGACTGTATACTGTTATATTATAAGAGGAGAGTGTAAGGAGCCGGGCAGCAGCACCAGCAGCACGAGTGTATAGTAGCAGCGGTCGGAAGGGATCCGCCGTCGGGGTGTGTGTGGGCGGTGGGGGAGGCTTACGGCCGTGTAAGTATATATACACTCCGCGCCACCTCGACCGCGCGCGTGCAACGTCGTCGTTGTAATTTGCATTTCGCTTCCTCCGCCGCCCCGCGTATACGCACACACAATAATATTATAATATATACGCTCCGGCCCATTGTTGTGTCCGTTCGCCTTGTCCATATGCATGTAAGACGGCGGCGGCGTCGGCTCTCGCCCGGCCAAACCGTATATACACGTATACATATATATATATATATATATATATATATGTATATATACATATTATACGGTTCGAGGAGAGAGGATCTCCTCTCTCGGACATCGGCCTCCCCGCCGCCGTCCGGTTTCCCGTTCCGCGGCCACGGCGTCCGCGCGTCCCGTCGGCTCTCCGTCTCTCCCGCGGAAATCCCTTAGGGGCCCCTAACAACGCGGACGCTCGCGCCACCGCCCGCAACACTTCTCACGGCCGAACACGCACTCCTTTGCATACATATATATATATATATATGTATATACACGTATTCCTATCAACCGCGTTCCCGAAGTGCCCCTCCCCCCCTCTCCCCGACCAGCCACGTCGGACCTTTTGCGGGCAGACGACCACGACGAAGAAGACGACGGCGGCGGCGTCGGCGATACGTATTGTATATTATTATACACGCGCGCGCGAGCGGTCCCTCCGCTGCAGATAACATATCGTGAATAATAACCAGCAGTCGTACCGCGCGCGACGCTCCTCGGCGCTAATTCCCGCCCCGCTCACCCGTTCCGGCAAAAGCCCCGTTGTATTATACGTATTATTATTATTATTATTATTATTATGATTATTACGATTATTGTATACATTAGAACGTGTACAATAATGCAACGGCATTAACTGCGCGGCGCGTAACAACGTAATATTATAACGTGCTGCCGGTACGCTGCGCACCGCGGCACGCCGGCGTGTCCGCGGGTGCTATACCCGCCGCGCGAAAAACCGGTCGACTGCGAGATGGGTTCCGGCCGTCGCAGCGGGACTGCAGCGGTCGGCGCTCGGTTCCCGGGCGCGCGCCGCAGACTTGCGAGCGCGCAGTGCCGCGTGTTCGTCGTTCGCGTCGTGCACGACGGCCGCGAGTTGGCTCCCCCCGGGTCGTCTACGGGTAACATACGAATCGGTTCCCGCGAGCTTTCGCGATAATACAACGTTGTTACGTTAGTTTTTTTTTTTTCCAAATTATTATCATATATATATATTCAACCAGCAACGGTTTCCTGCACATTTATACAGACCAGCGACTGTCTAGAATTATAGATATATGTTCTATTCCAGAGTCCAAACACCGTCTGGAATACCTAGGGTACGGCGAAAAATGTTGCTCGGTGTACGTAATGTATACGTAATATTATGCGCTACAACGCTGCATACGTATTTGTCAATAATAATATTTGTGCTCGTAATAAACAAAAACAAATTAAACCTAGAACACAGGTACATAATAAAATTTTTAGTTCCCCGCGTCAACCGTACGGTATCATAATAATTAATAAGTCATAATAAATAATATTCGAAAAAAAAAAATTAGCGTGGCATGAGTTTACAACATACGTTTTTAACGAACTGCAGGTTCGAGATTTGGCCGCCTTTCGATTTTTTAATAATTTCATCAATAAACTTTTCCTTCTCAGCAATTTTTTCAGACTTTAATTTAAGCGAGCTTCTTTGCTTTATATATGGTTCGCATTGAATTGCTTTTAATTGTTCAATCGAAAAAAAAAAAAAAAAATAATGGGGTAGGCGGAATAAAATCGTGAATTCCATGAAACGATTCGCAACAGTTTGTTGTTCGTTCTGAAGTGGCTGAAAAATCTGCCCATATTTTTGGTACTCTTTTTGGAAACCGTATTTGAAACCATTAACAACAAAAAGCTTTTATTTTTTTCGCTTAACATCACTAGTACTTCCATTTTAACGCACACACTAGGTTAGTTGTCACAAGACTGACGAGAAACAAACATAATCAATCTATAAGATATATTAAATATAAAATTATATTTATAAACTTTCCTAGACATCGTAAAACCTAATAAAAAATTATAAGATTATCGACTATCGACAGTTGTATACTGATAACTGATAAGTCATTTTTTCCGGAACCAATTCCGCATTACCCGTCTTACATTCGCACGATTGTATAATAAAAACGTACTTACGCAGACTATACACAGAACTCCTTTAGTTTTTGTTTTAGAGTAAAAGCGCCTATTATAATAATATGGAATTAACAGAGAACGATGTTCCGGAGGATAAGACGTTGCGTTTTTTTTGAAAAATGTTTAGTGAATTAAAACAATGTTTGAAAAGTCGTTATTTATAAACGGTAACTATTGATTGTTATATTTGGGGAAAACGGAAAAAACGCAACGTCTTATCATCCGGAATATCGTTCTCTTTTAACATTGGGTGTTTTAACTCAAAAAACAAAATCAAGCGAGTTCTGTGTAATCCGCGTAAACGTGTTTTAACTAAAGGTGTATCGCGCGTTTGTAAGACGAAAACAGTAAATGCATGTGTAGCGTCCTCTTATACCTCGGAACATTCGGGTGTTGACCATAGTGGCCCTCGGTGACTATTTTCGGCATTTAAAATATGTACCAGTTGCGCTCAACATATAAAATACCTACAGTAACACGGAATACAAAGAGGGGAATGTTAAACGGTGCATTATTTTAAGTACGGCTAAACTTTACTCGCCAACTCGAGTGCGAGCTAAATAAATTCCGATTAGTTAGTAAAACCACGTCGGATAACAGGGAAAAAACGAAGATCGTTGTGTTGTATTGGAAAGTATTAACATTGTTATATTGACATTATTTTTCGTCGCCCGTGAACCGACTGTCTATATTTTTGGTTATCATAATGGGAACATGTATTAAACATTCCACATTCCGCACAGCGCGCGGTTTTCATAGTGCTCCGCTACTCTCCCCCCACGCATACTAAAAAAGACGGACATACTTCACTTGGCCTGGATGGGCCATTGTTGTAGGTGAAAAGTTAGGAAGGTAGATGGAAAATTTGCATTACATGTACGTGACGATTGCTAACGAAAAACGATTCTGACCGGAATTCGGTTGTTAGTGTTGCTTTGTCAACAATATATATGTCATATTATAGCAAAATAATTAAATATAGCTATATATAAATAAATTTTCTTTAGTGACATTTATTTAATATTTTATCTATTTTCTCGTTTTTCTCATGTTTTTTTCCCGGCCTTTCCTGTTTATTATGAAAACAGATGGGAAAATCAAAAAATTACCTCCCTAAAGTACCACCTCAGTTAGATTATTGGTAGAAAAGTTGATCACAGGTAAAAAAAAATAAATATATATCATTGTAATATCAATACATTCCTCGCTTTACTCAGAATTTAAAACGGAATATTTCGTCAACGGGTTAACGAACATCAAAAATGTCAACACCAAAATGTATTTAGACTTCCCAGAAAAAACGATCGCAAGGACGCTGTACAAATATAGAACGCGGGTCACTGTTTACATTACGAAAATAACGTCCTTGTTCACGATAAATTCGAACTTGTGCTAATTCACAATAGCATTATAATAATATTCAGCTGTCTTTTGGAAAGTTAAAGAATATCCCGGCAATGAATTCTCGCACGGACACCGCGGCGGTTTCTTTTCCACTGCACCGGGACGACCCATATAAACGAAACCCGCGAAAAGTCATTAATCTTTTCTTTTTCTTTTTTTTTTCTTAAACTGCGGTTTTCCAATGAACAATATTGTTAATTAATCTTATTTATACTGTTGTATTAGACGCGTCTATAAATAGTAATTTTTTAATTAATATGGTTTTTTTTTGTCATATAATTACTATCGTTGGTTTATTAATTATAATCTAATCTATACGTTTTAGGGGCGTGGGGGTTTTTCTTGGCCGTTACAGTTTTGTCGGGGTGTTTATAATTAGTTATTATCGTTTGGGTCGTCTCCAAACGACAAAAAAAAGATATCCCCGTAATACAATACATATAGGTACCTATAATA